CAGCACCATGCGGAATCGCTGTACAAGCCTCAGAATGGCCCGTGTTCTACTTACTTTACTCCCGTTCCTCCTCCCACTGAACTCCTGGCAACCTCCGCGTGTGATGCTCTTTACCCTTTTGCTTTTTTCCAGATCGTCGTAAAGGTAGCAGCCGACTGTCTCTTCAGACTGACTTCTTCCATGGAGGTGTAATGGGTTACAGTGGGGTCGGCACATGGACTGCACCCGTCTGCGCTTTAGAAGAAAGACCAGGTTTTCTCCTCCCGGAAAGATGTACAGTCTGGGAAACCCACAGGGGGATGGCTGCTCTGTCCTGCAGGTCGCAGGGCGGTGGCATCAGCCCCGTGGCAGAGGGTTAGAACTCCTGACCTTTGGGTTCATCACTGAGCACTTCACCACAAAGCCACCAGAGCTCCTCCTCATATTCTACGGGAAAAGGGTGTGGCAATCTGCTTCTGTAGAGATGTACAGCCTGGGAAACCCTATGGGGCAATGCTGATCTGTCCTATAGGCCCCAGGAGACCAACGGACTGGACAGCAATGAATGCTTATTGTTCATTTCCCAGCAATGAGCATCCTATTGCTCCACACCTTCACTAGCGTTTGATGATGCGTCTCAGGTTTTAGCCACTCTGGTAGACGTGTTTCACTGCTATTTGAATTTATAAGGAACCCCATGGGCAGTTGTCAAGGGGCTCAGCTGTTAACCAAAAGGACATCAATTCAAACATACTAGCTGCTTTTGGGGGAGTTGAGTTGATTGACTTATTGCACCTGATTGCGTTTCCAGGGCTGTAGATCTTTATGGAAGCAGACGGAGCGGCTGATGGGTTGGAACCAAAGACTCTTGTGGTTTGCAGCTCACTGCTTTAACCACCGTGCCACCAAAGCTCCTTGCCAGAAAGCAGCCTTGAAAACTCAGTGGGCTCACTCGTTCCGTGAGTTGGAATCGACCTGCTGGCAATGGCATTGGTTTGGGTTTAATGACATGATGTTGGTTCACTGAGTTTACAAGCTGTGCGGCCCCAGGTGACTTGTCCTTGAGCTTATAAAACCTGTCTCACTGGATTTTTTATGAAGATGAAATGGAGGTGCTCAAAAGTGTTTATGGCAACACCTAGCGCTGCACAGAGAGCTTGGTGAAGCGCGCGATCTGTGCGCTTACTCTCCGAGCTCTCCCTAACTGCAAGTCTCCTGCCTCTGTGAGCAGCGCCAGGAGCACCCTGCAGGTGCCTGCCACGAGGTTCAGGAACGGTTAGTATTCACAGATTCAGCCTGTATTCCTACAATAGCTACTTGTTGGGGAATGAAATGACCACTGGTTAAAAAAAGACAAGACTATGAAGGAGTATTCTCAAGCTAGGCACTCCAGTGGCACAGTAGGTTATACACTGGGCTGCTGGCGACAAGGTCAGCAGTTTGAGCCCACCTTGGAAAGAAAGATGAGGCTGTTTCCAGAAAGATGCCCAGCCTTGGAAATACTAGGGAGTGGTTCTACTCTGTCCTATGGAGTCCATGTAAGTCCACTCTGATGGCCGTGGGTTTGGATTGGTCCTCAAACCGCCCTTGCGTGTATGGGAGAGAATTGTGTAAGCAAAGAAGACAGTGCCCTTAGAATTCTAATGAGTGTGCAGCCACAGCACTTTTCCTCTGGGATCATGTGGAAATGAAGGGCTGGAACATTCCAGAGACAACACAGAGGGCTTGCCAAGATCCGGGACTGCGTCTCCTTCAGGGGGCGTCTCCTTCCACAGGGTACCTCTGTGGGCTACAAGAGAAGGGGGAACTGATACATTAGGTGGAGGTAGGCTGCATGCACTACTAATGGGTTTGGACTTCACCATTAAGACTCTGGGGAGCTATGTTTCTTCTTTTTGTGCAATAAAACATCCTACTTAAATTTGTGTATAAGAAACACTAGCGTGTGACAGAGGGACTATATGGGACAGACTGTGGTAAGGGAGGAGCAGAACGCAAACAGAACTCTAATTATACACAACATGTAAAAGGTCTTCTTTCTATTGAGGGTAGATCCTGACATGCAAACCCCATAGTTTAATGCCCTTATCAACTAAATCAATGGTGTCTGTTGTGATGGATGGCGAAGGAGTGGCTTCCTCTATAGATGAGCTCTGCTGTTGGTAGCTACTGCCTACAGAGCTGGCAGCAAGGAGGGCAGGGCCCTGGTGCTTAGGATTCAAAACTCTGGTCTGAATTTTGGCAGCAACCGGGCCAAGAGAGCACCTTCCTGGGAGCTGGCGGAGGGGGAAGAGAAGGAGCAAAGTCCCTTCGGATTTGGAAACTTCCCTATGCTGCGAATGGAGGGAGTTAAAATGGGTTTGTCTCAACACCTGGAGTGCCTCTTTTTCATAGAAACACTGTCCATTGTGGGTTATGCTATAAGGCTGACTGGTCTCTTTAATGAGCTGGAATCCAGTCCATTTACAACTTATTTTGTCTTCTAGATATTTCTAACACCAACCAGACTTTGGGAACATGACCTGTTGGCCCCGTGGAGATGGACTGCCATGGTTATGCACTTTCGATCATGGTAGTTCATTAGCTCAACATTTAAGACTGCCTTGAGATTCCCACGTGTTGCTGCAAAGGAAATCTCACCCAGCCTATTGACTTCAAAAGCATTTGTTTAAAACGAGTCACAATTTTTTTAAACCAGAATAGAACTTTATTTATGGCATCCAGATTTTAAAAAATTATTTTATACTTCAAAGTATACAGTAAAATTTGATAATTAATCTAGATATATACTTACTCCATCCAGACTTTAAAAAAAATGCCAAATGGCTTATCATCAAAATAAATTGTTTTACTTGATATTCATATGCAATCATAGTTATAAATTTTAAAAATTTATACCAAATGCCATTTAAAAATTTGTTAAGGGGAATGCATCTGAAACAATTTCATGTCTTTGTTATAATTTTGGAACACAGAGAAAATGTAGGTTAAAATTATATGCTTGCAATTTCTAGAAAAGTATGATGTCCTTGATGTATGAAAATGTTCAAAGACTTTTGAGAGAATTTTCTGCTGGGAAGGGCTGTGTAGCTCCATCCAGGTTCCTCTGGACCACATGTGCACACCGGGAGGGTAGTCGGGGGCTGGAGCTGGCCGGGCTCTTAAATGACCACCATGCTCCAAGCTGCGTCACAGGAGCACCCACATGAGGATCAGCCAGATAAAAAGACAATTTTATGTTGTACCAAGCTCTGATATCTGCTATCATAGCTCACATAATTAATATCTAAATAATGATGTGGGAGGATCCTATTTTAATAAAAAATTATTTCACATTCAGTTCTAGGCAATGAAGATGTGTCCATTCACTGGCCCACATTAACATGACTTTCCTGATAAGGGGAAAATGAATTCCGATGATAACACCCACATATAGATACGTGTGTGCATTAGTATGCATACATGTATGTTGTGTTCATGTATCTATGTACTCAGAATCAGCTGTCTAGCTGATTAGACATTATCTCATTTTTAACCAAGAGATTCTTCTTCAGGATCAAATTTAGTGTGTATACCAGCCTGGTCAAAATCTGGTGGTCAGCACAAAGCATCTTCTGGTTGTGTGGTATTTTACAGCTAACAAAGTACGTTCCAATGTCCCTGCCATCCGGAATTTACCACAATCTTGCACAAGAGTTAAGGGGGGCATGATTATTCTTATTTGAGAGATAAGAATACTAGGGGGCCCAGAGAGGCTAACAGGCTGCCTCACATGGCTGGTAAGTGTGAACACTAGGACTGTCCCTGGTGGTCTTGCTTGCATGCTGGCTAACCAGGTACGACAAAACACAGCGCCATGACGTGTGAGTTGCTTTTCCGAAACTGAAGGGAATCTGGGGTGTTTGGAAGTGGTTTTGCTACTTTGTCACAAAAATAGTGATCCCTACCAGGTGTTGATAGGAATCTATCAGCCAGCTTAAACCAATAGACAGAAGGGCCTTTTACAGCTCCCCTAGTGTGTGCCATTAAGACTCATAACACGCTTTTAAAATACATTTCTCAATCACTAAGATATCATCGTAGGAAGCAGGTTTAATTATTTTTTTCAAGAGCATTCTCTACCCAGATAATTATTTCAGCGTAGGTATAAAACCAGAAATAAGGCGGCGATGGTTTGGAGAGGCGAGGGTTACCCCGTGTTCCGTACAACCCGAACCGCTGGAGATTTCCTCCAGGCTTGGAAAGCCTTGTGTGAACTGGAGAGCATTCCTACAAGCCTGAACTATTCTTGGACTGGGACTGTATACGGACACTGAAGCCAGTATGTTTGTGGGTAGGGGGGGACTTGTAATGGGGACTTAGATCCAAAACTTCATAAACAATGGTATTTTTGAGTGCTAACCAAGTGCTAAGACTGCATTAAGGCTTTTACATGCGTTATCATAACCATAAGCCTTGCATAGGATTATATAACAAAATACAGGAGACCTGCACACGTCCACATCTGTTACAGTCTAGCATACTTCTTTTTAGTATTTTTAAAAAGCCCCATTTGAAATATACTTCCTTTCATTTCTGTTTTGTTTTTGCTAAACCTGTCCACCCTGTCCTCCCTGTTGTGAATTCCCACTTTACCAATGACGAAACTGAGTCTTAGAACAGTAACTTGTTAAATGCATGGTAAGTGGCAGATATAAAACTCTCAAACACTGCTACCATCAAAAAAACCCAACGAGAAATAAATACAGACTTGGCACAATTTTTATCTTTGTAGGTGCACTGGAACCTGTAACACTTTCCCATTTGCCTTTATCTGCTCACACTTACTCTTCATAGGCTACAAATTCACTTCTACATCCTCTAAGCTCAGGAGGATAAGGGCCCAGCAAGATTTCTCTGAAGCGGACCCCTCTATGCCCGGCGGCCGACCCAGTGTTGGGCAGGAAGTATGGTTTCTAGGTTTATCAGATTGGCTGAAATTAGATTCTACCAGAAGCATTTTTTTTTTTTTTCTACCAGAAGCATTTTGCTAGAGTTTTTGATTGATAGTAAAATATCATTTCCACAGTAAACAGTATTTTTACAAATCATAAGAAACATGGTAATAAATTCCATACAAATTACGCATTATAGCTACTCTTTGGTTGTTTTTAACTTTTCTTTTTACTAGAGTGAAGTAATAAAAATATAAAAAAGCAACTACAGAAATGGGCTTCATCTGTAAACGTAATAAATCCTGTAAACATATATTGACTACGTGACTGTGCAAGTATAAGAATGACTTGTCAGGGCAAGTACTGTACATTACGCGCAACTCTTTAAAGCATACTTAGAAATACTGTTTTGTGAGATTTCGTCTAATTTTGGAAGAAGGAATTCTTCGATCCACAAGGAAACGTTAAAAACGTGATGGCTCTTCCATTGAGCCTATATAAGGCCAGAGAAAGGCTTTAATACTTTCAACTCACTGCAGTTTTGAATTTGCTTCACCTGCCTTGTGAATCACCTCACTGATCAAAACGGGTTATTAACCAAAGACAAATACTTTTAAGATGAAGAAGTAAACAAAAAGAATTTTTTTTGAAAGTGAGTCAGTTGACTAAAGATATAGGTAACACACTTGACAAGGTTTTCCCGAATACCTGGGCAGTAAGGTGCATTAGGCGAGTCTACACAATGATAAGTGGCTTCAAGCAGCACTAGGTATATTGTCATTTACTCAATATTAAATTACTCTCCCCCAACAGTCAGTCTTCCTCCTCAAAGAGCATCCGACTTTTCACACACAACACTTGTCACAAATATTTCACAGTGATAATTTCAGTAGTTTAAGAAAGAACTGCCTTGAAAATACTGTAAAAGAGGTAAGTGTTGAGAACACAACTCACTACTTCAGGCACACAGGACAAGGCCCTGGCGTGTGAACTCAAAAGATAAAAGGAAACAACCGGGCCAACGCAAATACCTTCGTAAGTGATTGAACTAATAGTTGTCATAGCATGGCTCCTAATGCTTATTTATCGATGGTTGTCTCAAGTGTCTGAGAAGATACTTGATCAATGGCCAAGTTTTTAGTAGTTTCCTGGGTAATTTAAGCCAAGAGTCGGTGTATAAAGTATTGCGTCAGCGCACTATTGTAGACTGTCATTTGTAATCTAATCAACCCCATCAAAACCCTGAGTATTCTCAATCGCCAGCTGCAGTTTATCCCATAACTCTTCAAATGATTCATACGGTGGCAAGTCCAGGCGATTAAAGCTGAAAGAATAGAAAGAAATCTGTCAGGAGACACTGCAAGGCCACAGTCAATACAGTATAGCTGATACTCGTGGTGAGGCTGTATTCTAACAACCTACCAGACAGTTTACCACCGGGGGTAGAAGAAAGGGTTAGCACTGGACTCTACACAGGGATCGTTGCCATGATTGTTGAGTGGGATTTTCTTGCCTCCAACTGGCTGAGTTACTGCTATTTTAACTTATAAAAGCGAATGTTTCAGCTCCCCTTGGAAAGGCCCCACACTCATGCTCTGTAGGCAACCTCTGATCAACAATTTACATGGGCCTCTCCACCATCTCATCTCATAGTGATCCTGTTCGACAGGGTAGAACTGCCCCTGCGGCATTCTGAGGCTGTAAATCTTTACGGGAGTGAAAAGCCTCATCTTTCTCTTGAGGAACCGCTGGTGGTTTTGAACCACTGATGTTGTGGTTAGCAGCCCAATGCCACCAGGGTTTCCTATGAATCTGAACCAGGGCTCCTGTGAGTCTGAACGACTTGATGGCAGCGCGTTTGCTTTTGGTTTCCTCTAACATCTGGCTACCCGGATTTTAGGACGTCGAACTAGTACAGACAGGTGTGTTCCCGAGTGAGTGTGGCCGACTCCGCTTTCTCCTCCACGGCTGCCACGGCCACGGCTGCCACGGCCACGGCACGGAGGGACCCGCACTTGGCCTCCTCTGCACCTGGGTCAACTGTTAGCCACTGCTTACCAGGTGTGCGCTCTTGGCAGCTTTTCCGGGGTACCCCACTGCTCAACCGTGAAAGACTGTGGTCCGTTGGAGCCTACGAGAAAGAAGTTACTCTAGTGTCATTTGTTCTCTAAGGAATCCCCAGCACTTCAAAACTCGCTTTTTCTACTACAGACTTTACCTATGTAGGAAACTAATTTGGTTCTTTAAGCTCAAAAGAAAGGATGTATTAACTTGTGTGATTAAGTGCCAATAAAACTCTTAAAAAAGAAAAATGAATGATGCATGCCCTGTGTCTGTTGGCATCATCGCGCAGCCTTAGAATGAGGGTTCGCCTTCTGCCGGTCCACGCTTAGCACAGCGCCGCTCTGTGGGCAGCAGGTCTGACGATGGTTTTGCTGGTGTCTAGAGGCCCGTGATTGTATTCCATATTCTGTTGCCTTTGCAAGGACATGGAGAAAATTTGCATTCTCTTTCTTATTCAAGTTTCACTGAAAATAGCTTTGACGTTGTTCTATTTCCATAAGTAATACAGGAGTCCCGGGTGGCGCAAACAGTGAAGCACTCAACTCTGAGCCGACAGGCTCGCAATCTAATGCCATGCAGATGTGCCTCACGAGAAAGGCCCGGAGGTCTCCTGTGGGAAGGCTGCCACTATGCAAATCCTAGGGGGCTGGTCCAGTCTGCACACACAGGGCTGCCACGAGTTGAAATCCACTGGCTGGACGTTAGCTAATAACCATGAAGGGGCACCCCTCAAAACCTGATGCTCATTTTTTTTTTTTTTAATGTGAGGGGGATAGTTCGTTCCACCAGGTCAGACTGTTAATCAAGTTTTCCATTTAGAGGTTCTGAAAAGATTGCATAAC